GGGGGCCCCCGTCCGCGCGGGGGGCCCACACTGGGTGGACAGCGGGGGCTGGGAGGAAAATGCATGCGAAAACCCCCATATCGCCGCTAAAATGCGTGAAATAAAGTTTTAATTTATTAAATTAATTAATTTTAATCATTTAAACAATTCTTTTTGATTCATTTTTGCAGTTTATTCGGACTTCTGGCGACGCGCAGGCTCCGAGACGTGCAGGAGCCGCAGAGGTGCGCCAGCAGAAACCCTGAGGGTTTTCTCGCTAAAATTAAACAATAAATATATAAATAAATTAATTGTTTAATTAGTTAATCAATTATTTGATTATTTAATCAAAAAAGAATCAAATTGCAACTAATTCTCCCCGATTTGAGCCAAAGGGGTGGCCACCCGGCAACTGAGTCAAAAAATAATGAGAAATGACTCAAATCCAAAACCCTAAACCCTAAACCCTCATTTTACTTCGCCTTATGCTTGTGGGGCCGCCACAATCAACCCCAAACCCTAAAGCCTCAGGCCTAAACCCTAAACCCCGGAAGAACACTTGGGTAGCTGTGCGCTAGACCCTAAACCCTAAACCCTCAGAGGGTTGGAAGAAGAAGTTACTTTTGAAATCATTAGCGAAGCGTTGTCAAGCACCAAAAAAGCCCACAAACCCTAAACCCTAAACCCTCGACTCCAAATCCTAAACCCTAAACCCTTCAGGGGCAACAAGACAAGGCGGTGTGGCCAGGTTCGACTTTGCTCAGCTTTGGGCCCAAACCCTAAACCCTCGACTCCAAACCCTAAACCCTAAACCCCCGGGGGCCGGGCGACCTTCCTGCACACAGCAACGCGCCCCACAGCTCCAACGCCCTAAACCCTAAACCCTAAACCCTTGAAGCGCATACGTAAACCCTAAACCCTACCCCCGATGGCCCTAGCTAAATCCTAAACCCTAAACCCTGCATCTAACGTGAAGGTGTTTTTGGGCGCGGGAGGGCGCGCCCGGGCTGCCTCGGGGCTGGGTTTAGGGTTCAGGGTTTAGGGTTTAGGGTTTAGGGTTTGGACCTTCTTTCGAGCTGCCCCGAAATGCTGCAGCGCATCAAACTCGAAGACACTGGCTGCAGTGCCCCCCCCCTTTTGCTGTCAGCACACAAAACCCCAAACCCTTCTGCTGCAGTTCCCAGCAAGTACTGCCTTCCGTCCACAGAAAGCTGCGCGCAAACCCTAAACCCTAAACCCTAAACCCTAATTCCCGGGCGCTGGGGCCCCGTGGGGGCTGCGCAAACCCTGGGACGGGGCGCGCCCGCAAAGCCGAGCGCCAAACCCTCGGGGTTCCGCTCAACCACCAGTTTAGGGTTTAGGGTTTGGAATTAGGGTTTAGCGCTGCGGGCTAGGGTTTAGGGTTTAGGGTTTAGGGTTTAGCGTTTACCACTTCCGCCCGCACCACGTCTAAGGGCTGAAAACACTCGGCTATGTCGAAGTTCTCAGTCACTGTCTCTCGCGCGTCTTGGGCCCTGCAGCAAACCCTAAACCCTAAACCCTAAACCCTAGTCCCCAAGCCTAAGGCCTCATTTGTACTAATTAAGAAGCTGTCAGCAGCCCCAGTAGCAGCCGGCAAGTGCAAATCCTAAACCACAAAACCCTAGATCCAAAGATAAACCCTAATTTGAAACCCTAAACCCTAAACCCTAAACCCTAAACCCTTACCTGATGGCCCCCTTGTAGGGTTCGGGGAGAACGTGGCCGTCGACGGCCAAGACAGCCACTTCTGCCAGCATGCGGTTTACCGCAGTTACCTTCAGGCACAAAACCCTAAACCCTAAACCCTAAACCCTAAACCCTAACCCCTAAACCGTAGATATAAGGCCTTGCTCTTTGCTCCAGCGCCGCGCAGCAGAGGCGCCTGGCCTCACCGCGACTCCCCGAGAAGGGCTTGACTGCTTTAAACCTAAGACCTAGGGTTTAGGGTTTAGGGTTTAGGGTTTAGGGTTTAGGCACCTGCCCCAGGACCAAAGAGCCCACGTGGGCCACAGCCGCGCGGCTCTGCGCCGCGCGGGTTATGCAGATTGTGGGAAGTCCCTGAGTGCCAAAATAAATAAATAAATAAATAAATAAATTAAATAAATACATAAAAAAAATAAATAAATAAATTAAAAAACAAATAATCAAAAAATCCCCATTTGTTCATCGCAGTTTCAGGTGTACGTACACCGCAAACTCGAAAAGCGAAATATTTCAAAGGTGGAATTTTATTTTATTTTATTTTGTTTTGTTTTATTTTTATTTTATTTAATTTTGATATTCAAATAAATCTCATCTCCCACAGCAATATGGAAGGACAAAAACACAAAAAATAATAATTTATAAAACTTAAAAAGTAATTTCAAATCCAGCGCTATCTACCAGTACATGGGGGCCCCC